CAGGAATGCTGCTTTGAAAACAACAGGCACGCACAAAGGAGGTAACACACCAAGACACAGGCCAGGATGGGCCTGCGAGCTGATAAAGCAACAGGAATCTCCAGCAGGAGCTGCTGCATTGACACGATGCCTTTTGGACATGCAGCTTCAGCCTTTGTGTCTCCCCAGCTCCCTATTTCACCAATTTCATCACGACTCCACCCATATTCTGCCCCTGTTTTCAGCACACATCTCCATTTCACTGCTCCTGTGTGTTGCCCACCGACCTCCAGCATCAAAGCAGCATCCTACATCAGCTGCTCCCCACCCTTGTCCTTCCTCTGCCCTTCACCCTCTTCTCCCCCCTTTCCTCACCTGCGGCTCCGTTCAACCCTGCCTGAAGCTTCAGGAAGCGCCTGCAGAGCTGCACAGCAGCGGGATGGAGACCGCTGCCATTAACTAAAAGTGAATAGTTAATCCAAGTTAAATACAAGTTACAGCCCCTGATACCGGGCTTCCCATATTAAATCCTTTGCTGGTTCATGGATGTGCACTCTGGGATATTTATCTAATTCACCAACACAGAAAATGTTGGCGTTTTTTTTTCTCCTTATCTTCCAGGCATGTTCAGACAGCCAAAAATCCCTGCATGCACATCCAGAGCTTGCTGGGAAGCAGCAGAAGCGATGCAGAGCTGGGAAAACTCTCAGGTCTGACGCAGCCCAAGGCTACGTCCACAAACACCACAGCAGCACCCAGGTAACGCGTGATGGGGTGGCCCTGGGTGCAGCTCCCTGCTTTCCACTCGCGCGGAGGGGCTGCAGAGGAGGAGCAGCGCTGCCAGCACCGCCCAGGCTGAACCAAAACAGCTCCGAGAGCCAAAAACCACAGGGAGGCCCCGCTTCCCTGGCGAAACCCAGCTCGGACCAGTGACAGCCCTGCAGCCGGGGTCAGGGTCTCTCCCCATCCCTGCTGTGGGGCAAGGGGTTCTGTTAAAATCACCCTCGGTCCTTGTAAATGCTCTCCAGTCACTGCTTGGCTGGTACCAGTTACACCAGTAGGTCCCAGCCTGTGATTGGAGACACCAATGGAGCATCCTCTCATGCGGAAAGGGTTTTTTTTCCTTAGGTTTAGGAAAACTATAGAGCTCTCCAGTACCCTGAACTCATCCCCAGCCTCTGCTCCTAAAAGCCAGCGGAGCACACTGAGCAAATTGTACCAATTTAGACCCACCAAAGGGTCAGGAGGTCCCAAATCTCCCCTTCTGTTATCTCTGATTAGCAGCTACGCCATCACAGAGAGCCATTGGCAAAGGGACCGAGAACACCTGAAACCAGCTCCATACCTCAGCCTCCCAAAAGCCCACCCTGCTGAGCAGCTGCCCAGGGAGCTTTCATGGCTTCTTTTTTTTTTATTCCAGTGAAATACATATATTTCTGTCAACCAAAACAACCTGCAGGTCAAGCAAGCCTGGAAACTTCAGTTTTGCCACTCAGGTTACCTTGAATAGCATCAAATAAATTTCAGCTGGCAAAAGCAATGCAAACCAGGGCTGGTTTATACGGCAAAACAAGAATCCTGCAGGTTTATGCTGGCTGAAGGTGGTATCTGAATTCAGCTCTTGGGGTACAGCTGGATGAGCTCCCTCATGCACAAGATGCTGCTCAGCTGCAGAGCATCCCTCAAAAGAGATGGCTTAAAACCAGCCCCACGGAGCTTGAAAGATGCAGCACCAGTTCAGACCAGCAGGAGCCACAGCAGAGAGGATGGGAGGGAGCTGGGGCTGCTTGCAAACCGAGGACTGGCAAGAAAAGCCAGGCCAAAGCAGCTGCTACCATCCTGGGGGGGTTGGTGGTCACTGAGCAAACCTGGGGGGTTGCAGGGCCACATCTCCCCTGCCTTGAACTGGTCTCAGAAGAGAGGTGGGCACCTGAACAGGTTGCAGAGCAGAGAGAGACAAGGGAAGAGCTTGATCTGTTGCTGCTCGCATTGGTTACAGAGCTCCAGTGTCCAAAGGTGTAAACCAAACCCACTCTATGGTAAATGAAGAAGTGAGAAGTTCCCTGCCCCGTAAGGACCAGCACTGAGGTCCTGGTAGGGACATCCCCACACACAGCGCTTCCCCCACGGATCCTTTATCAAATACCAGAGGACACTCAGCCCCCAGGAATGACGTTTTATTGCCCTATTCATAAAAACAACCACCTGGAAACAGCCCAGTAAAAAAAAAAGCTGTACAAGATGCATGAGAGAGGCTTTTCCCTCCTCAACTCCTGGGCTGAAATACTCTGACAGCATCTTTAATCAGACGCCAGACGAAGGCAAACCTGACGTGGGGAGGCTGCCGGTCGCCTGCAGACTCGGCGAGGAGGAGGCCAGGCTGCCTGGCACCACCTCGGCTGGGGTGCGATACAACCACGTAAAGCCCCTGCCCCGCCGCCCGCATCGAATCCCCGCGCAGGGGCCAGCGCTGCAGCAGGAAGCCGAGATCGCCTTTCACTCTGGAATTCCTCAGACGGTTCCTTCCTCCCCTCCATCCTCCTCCGGCACCGCGTGGCCACGGCCGAGCAGATTCCCAACAAGGTGTTGTGGCAGCAATCAGCAAATTAACTCCGAGACAGCCCAGAGGGGCAAGATCTCAGGCTTCCCCCCTCTCGCAGCAGGGACTTCAGCTGCAGCCCAAAGGATTGAAGTGGAAAGCGCTGTTGGTTATTGCTTGGAGAGGGGCTGGTTTTTGAGGATGCTCAGCTGGATCACTGGGCTGCTTGAGCAGCTTCACAAGAAAGCAACTGGATCAAAGAGTCCAGCCAAGATGAGCTCAGAGGGGAGTTGTTAAAACTGAAGGTGGGGTGTGGGAAAGGGAATGAGAAAGGCAGCAATGCAACATTAGGGATCCGTTGTTTCCTTGTGGAAAGCACTGGGCAGAGAGGGTGCAAATCCAGGAGCACTTTGAGTTTGCCAAGAGAAGGGACAACCACACGGGTGCAAAGGGCTGCAGCAGCCATCCCTAAAGCGCGTGGTGGGCAGCAACCTCTCCAAAAACCCCAATCGCTCACAGCCCCTTCCTTTCAGCAGATGTTCCCCTGTTTCTGGTACAGGCCTTGACACCAGGGCCTCAGTGTCACGCCTCGCATGGACCTGCTCTGCCTCCGTGGCTTCTCAAGACGTCTGCTCTGCTGCCACGCCGTCCCCTCGGCACCATCCCCACGGCAGGGACTGCATCTGGTTTGGCCTCAAGAGCCTGCAAACCAGAGAGGTGCTGGGGGTGGATGAGGCCGAGCCGCAGATCCCAGCGCCTGCTGTTAGATACAGTGAGGATTTCAGTGCTGGAGCCAGCGGCACCGAGGAGAAGCTGCTGCACAGGCCTCTCGCTGCACTGCAGTCAGAAACGCAGCTCCAGTGCGAGAAAGGGACTTCAGGGCCCCCCCCAGGGGGTATAAACTCGGCATCGTGGCTTTATCTGCGAATATCTGAGCTGCTCCCTGCGTCCTCTTCCTCGGCGCCTCCGTGGAACAAAAATTTCAGCCTTCTGTGACTGGGAACATCCAAACCCTCCAATTTTAGTGATTAAAAACAAACTGCGGCTGGTTCCTGGTATCTGGAGGAAGGGGGAGAGGTCGAACAATCCTCATCTGCTTGGAAAGGCAGTGCAGGGAGGACTCACCCCGTGCTCTGCTCCCTCTGCTCCAGAGCTTTCAAACAAACACATTTCACTCACACCGAAGCCATTTCATTTTGCCTGGGTATTTTTGGGCAGACAACTCCTGTTACATTTACAAGAGTGCTCTCACACCTATAGGATTTGGGGCTAGGTGACTCCTGCCTGAGAGACATCTCATCAGTAGTGCTTTTCCTAGCTTCAACTCCTAAAATTCAACTTCTATACTTAATGCATGAAAAAGGATGGCTCATACAAAAAAAATTACGATTTCAAGACAAATTCAGGATGGGCACATGCCAAATTTCTTCCATTTTCATTTGCTGCTTCTTAGCTAACACTGAAGGCAAAGCTGAAATCCGTTGTGAAGAGGAAAGCAGAACAGAGAGAGACTGAAAAGAGTAACTTCTTGGTCTGCAGCTAAGAGGAAAAGGATCCAGGACACACCTAAGCCACTTGAAAAGAATTCAAACTCCAGTAAAAGGCCATGAAGAAAGAGGCCCAGCAGGAAGGTGCAGACCAAAGCCTGAGTTACTGGGGCAGCCGGAGCAAGAGGACGTCATGGCAGGAGATGCGAGCGAAGCCCACGCTGGCATCGTGAGATCTCCAGGAAAGCAGCACCCAGGCAGCGAAACCCCTCCCAGACAAACACAAACACGCTCAGCCCTGCGGGATGGGAGATTTTGGAGGATGGTGAAGCTCTACCCAACACCCTTCTGTGACACCTGGTGCTCATTTCTTTTGGTAGAAAGTTTAATAAAAGGAAAGGAAGACCAGCCTGAGATGAAAAATGTGCAGACCCCGAGCTTTCATTTGAGCCCAGACCAGTTCCATTAGCTGCACCTTAACGGATTAACAGTTCAGCTCAGCTTTAATGAGTTTTCAACTTAAAACATTTCCTCCTCCTGCCTTCCTCAGACTTGGCTGGGATCACTCATCTCTTTAAAGACTTATGAGCACGCCAAGTTTATTCCGCACGCGCCAGGGAAAGGCAGCAGGCGTCTTTCTTTTGAAGTGGGAACAAGCACGTTAAGTCTTCCACTCCCCAGAACCTGAAAACAGCACAGAACATCTCTGGAAAGTTTGAGTGAAAGCTCGAGCCTTTGAGCTGAGCCCAAACTAAAGAAAAGCCACAACCTTCAAGCTCAGCCACATCATTTCCAGTTAAATCCACAATCCACGAGCGAATGCACCTCTGGATTTAAGAGAGGTACAGGCGCAGCAGCGGGAGCGTTACCTCCCTGCTGAAAAAAAGAGAAC